GTAATGAATATAAAGTTTTGAACTTTCTGCAAAAAAAAAACAACAAAAAAACTGCTATGGAATCGATGGAATCTATGGAATTGCACAGTTATGGACTAATCAATGTATTATACTTCTTAGTAGATGATTGTTCAAAGATTGAACTCTTGTATGAAGTTGAAATGATGACTTTGAATAAAAGGTGCAATGAGTTAAATTTAAAAGGAAGAAAAAACCTTTTGAGTTCTAAGGAAAATCTTCACGATTCATACAAGCTCTGACTTGCATTACTGATTTGATATCAGAAATTTTCCGACGACAGTTTATCTGTATTGTGAAACGTTAAAGAACTTAGCAAACATTCTTAGTCAGTGAAAATACAAAAACTGTTCAAGCAGCTGAATAGAATATTTTGTGCAAAAGAGATGGAAACCTTTAAAGAAAACATGGCGCGTCTCGATAGATTATTGGCCCAAAAGATTTCCTTATAAAAGCATCGTTAGCGTGAAAAGACAGGTATTAAATACTCATTAATTATATATGTTCTTTATATTTATTCATTAAATATTTGTTATTGCAAATAAAAAAATTTCTATTTTCTGGCAGATGTTTTCATAGAACTAAAAGGAAATAACAGAATCTGTATAAAGGACTATAAATAGAATTCAGTATCCAAAGAAAGAAAATCTCATGTGCAAGTGATAGACATCCTTAAATGAAGTATGATGTGTCTTGATAAATGATAGGACGAACTAACTTTCTTACCTAGACATCATTATCTTGAAAACAGCAGGTATTAAATACTCATAATTTTTAACTGTCAGTATATTTATTCATTAAATTTTAATTATTTTAAAAAAAACTTTATGTATTTCTACACAGATGTTTTCATAGAATGAAAAGAAAAAAAAGAATCTATAGAAAGGACTATAAATAGAATTCAGCATCCAAAATAAATCGGAAGTGCAAAAGATGGACATCTTTAAATGAAGTATGACGTGTCTTCGATAGAACAATCTGACATCCTTACAAGGACATCATTAGCTTGAAAACAGCAGGTATAAAATGCTCATAACTTTTAAATGTTGTAGTTATTTATTTATTAAACTTTCGTTATTGCAATCACACTTTATAAATGCTAAATTTATTTTATTTCTTTAGTGTTTTAAAATTACAAAAACTTCATACTTTTTAACAAGATATTTTGCTCGAATGAGACTTATGTGCAAAAGATAATTATCTTTATTGGAAGTATGGCGTGTCTCGATAAATGATTTCGCCAATCTGCATAGACACTAATGGCATGGAATCGATAGAAATTAAATACTCATATTTTAAAAACTGTTTATTTTTTTATATATATATTTATTAATTTTTTGTAACTACAAAAAAAATTTTGTATTTCAGATATTTTCGAAGAACGACAAGAAAACGAAACATCTGAAGGAAGCTAAGACTCTGAGAAAAATAACTGAAATAACTGAGAACTTGGTCACGTGTCTGAGATAATTAACTGAGAACGATAACTTTTGTTCACAAAAAATGATTACTACGAATGCATCAATGCTGATGATACTAATATAGAAGAATAATTTACTATTTTGCATTATTATTTATACCATAATTGAAAATATGTTTTCTTGAAAGTTTGTATTTGGAAATCTATTCTTACAATAAATGACTTACATTTTTTTGATTATTTCTCGTGTTTCATTCTCATGTTTTATCTTCAATTTCAACTATTCACGTACAATGTCTATTTATCTTGTACTCACATTTAATCCAAGAATAATAATGTCGGATAGGACAAACTCGAAATGAGATATTCTTCATAGTTCTGAAAGTAAATCAGCATAAATTATAGGAGACTTCCGACAATTTTTTTTTCTGCAGAATATAATAATTAAAACAACTTAAAAACTTTTGCAGAAACATCTTAAACTTTTGCTTGCGGCCTTACGGAATGCCACAAAATGAGAACAAGAGATATTAAAAAGGTTTGCAGTAAACATCTTCAACTTATGATATAGGGATTGTTTTGGAAATAGTAGCCACAAAATGAGAACGAGAGACATTAAAAAGGTTTGCAGTAAACATCCTCAACTTATGATATAGGGATTGTTTTTGGAGATGCTGCTGCAAAAAAATTTATTATTTAAAAACAATGTGCGATATAATTTTATTAAATGCTGATGTTAAGAAAGCTTAAAAAGTAATAAATTTATCTCATTCGCTTCTTGTTTACTGAGCAAACAGAAATCTCAAGTAAGCCTTAAAAATTTAAAACTCAGAAGGAAATGCAAATTTAATTCAATAACTGTTTGACAAAAAGATTTGAAACCTGAAATGCGAATAATTTTTGCTAAATGCCATACATTGATTTGCCTAAATAAATGAAGAAGTGTGATGTATGGAAGGGTAGACAAGTCAATTTATCATAAAAGGATAATTTAATTATGATTTTGCTCTTCAATTTTTGAAGAAAAATTTTTTTTTAATGAACTAAAAGAACATATTTCTGACAACAATTATTTCCCGCAGATGGGAAACACACTATACCGAACACGCAATAGTTGAAAATTAATTTAATTTCTTTTGTTTTGACCTTTTGTTAAGAATCAAAGTTTGCATGCATTAATATAACACACTTTAGCTATTAGTTTTTATAAAACATCTAGCTTTTGACTATAGTTTTTAAAATAAATAGCTTTATAAATAAATATTAAGTAAAAAAATTAAACAAAGAATAAAGTATCCATTAAAAATAATAATCCTTTATAAATAAATATTAAATAAAAAAATTAAACAAAGAATAAAGTATCCATTAAAAATAATAAGAGAAAAGAGAAATTTTAAAAAAAAATGCTTCTTGTGTAAACTAAAATGGTGAAAATGTTTTATTTTTTTTAGTCTTTATAAGTAAAACGTATGGCGCTTCACTTTCGAAAGACATGAGGGGAATATTCGGTATAGGTAAAAGTTCATGACTAGAATGTTGTGTCCTCCGTTTTTCGTTTTAAATACGACAAAAGTAAAGTGATTTTCCCCTTTTTAGTTTACTTAAAAAATCCAGTTTTTAAAATTTCAATTTTATTTTATTATTTTCTTCTAATTTCATGAACACTTGTTCAGGTTGGAAAGTGGACGAAATTTCTATTGTCGATAAAGTTCGCTTGAATAATTCAAAAACATTTATAACTTCTATAATCAGTTATCTGTCACAGAACCCCAAATGAATTTGAAATACTCTTGCTACTAAAAATATATTCTATTTGGTGTTAAATATTACATTATTCGCCGTTAAATTTTGAAAAAATGATTTAAACTCTTATTGTTATTCAGTCCAAAGCTCAAAATTAAAATTTTGAACATTCCAGCCGGTCTAAAAGTAGTCAACATTTGGTTTCATGATAAATTCCCATTGGCGATAATATTTTTACAAATTCTGCTTTCAGCAATCCGAAATTCGTATTTTACATTTTTTTTGCATTTTTTGCATTTTTGGACATTTTTGTCCTTTTGAGCATTTTTTNATTGCAGTGGTCGGGAAGTGATTAAAACTTATATTGTCACCATGCACAGAGATCTAGATGAACTTTTTACTCTCTAATTTGTTTTAAAGTGATAATTAAATTCTCATCGGCGATGTGACGATAAAGTTTTGCAATGGTCAGAAAAGGATTAATAAATCTTGTGTTGTCATTAATCATGGAGCTGCAAATGTGATTTTAGCTTTCTAGTATGAGAGAAGTGGTCTAATTTTTATTGGCGATAAATTCTTACTGCGGATAATGATGATTATAAATTCCATAATAAGTGGTCAGAGAGCGATTGAAACTCCCATGTCATAATGCACAGAGTTCCATGTGATATTTTTACTCTCTAGTTTGTTGGAAAGTGATCATAATTTTAACTGGCGATAAATTCATATCGTCAATAATGTTGATGATAAATCCTACTTGCAGTGGTCAGGAAAAGGATTAAAAATTATATTGCCTCCCTGCACAAAGATCCAGATGAGAATTAATTAACTAGCTAGTTGGAAAATCGTCGTAATTTTGATTGATAAATTCTCATTGGCGATAATGTCGCCATAATTCTAATTCGATAATTCATCATAATTTCCTTTAAAATATCTTAGTTTTTTAATGCATATGTCGGTAGCATATGCATTAGAAAGGAAGTTTATAATTTCGTAAGAAACGTAACCAATGGACCCAAGAATCAAATGGAAAAAAAAAAAATCCCCCTATATCCTCGGCTTATTTTTCCCTCCTTCCCAAATTTTCCACTCTAACATTATGGAATCGTCTTAGTCACTTGTCGATCTCACCTCTTGTGTCTATAGCAAACACCCTTCCGAGTCCTTGACCTTCAATACTGGCCAATCGAGTTCCGGGTGTAGTGCCATCAGTTCCTGTTGCATAGCATAGAACTCTGCCATTCTCTCTGTCAGCAACGCATACTGCATCGTGTTCAGGCACTAGTGCAAGACTGTGTGGCACATGCATGCCATCTGAAATAATAAAAAGAATTATTTGCTAGAGTCTCATAAAAGGTGTTCCGTTAAGACAGCTCTTAATATATACTTTTAGAATAAAAATGAAGAATAATAAATTACACTTTCAAATAGATTAAGAAGGAGAATATTATTTAATTTTTTTCAGATCTAAAACGAAAACTTAAAAACTAAAATAAACTCAGTGGCGCGACAGCCCATAGAGGGCCAAGGCCTACTGTGCCTATCTCAGTTTTTTTAACCTTGAACTCTGGGGTGCAGGAGCAGATGTTCTGGTCAGGTAGTCAGCCGAACGCGGAACCCCCAGTGTTTAGTTCCCAAGCATGCTTGGTACTCATTTACCGACACACTGAAGGGATGAAAGGCTGAGTCAACCTTGCCCGGCCCGAGTATCGAATCCAGGACCTGTGGCACGGGAGCGCAAATCGCTACCGCTCAGCCACCGGGCGTCAAAACGAAAACTTATGGGGGGAAAATTTCGCTAAACATGATGGGAATTTTCGGGGTGAAGAAGTTTTATTTAAAAACTATGCATCCTATGTTTTTTGTTTCAGGTTTGACATAATAAAATTATTTTCTTTCTTTCTTTCTTTTAGTCTACATGAAAATTTTAATTTTATTTTATTGATTTCCCTCTTTTTTCAAATCTGTGTCTCTTTGTTTGCTTGGGTTGAAAAGTCTTTTGGGCGATAAAAATAAGTTATAAGTTTCGGTTGCATCATTTATGAAATAAATGGCTCATTATCATCAGGCCCAAAGAATGGCCCTTGAAATCTGATCTCTCCAGTTAGTTAGAAAGTGATAGAAATTTTAATCGATACAAATCCCATTTGTCGGCGGTATGGTAATAAATTAAGCTTTTAGTGGAGAACAAACTATTAAAACATACATTATCATCTTACTCCATTTAAAATTTAAGGTATAGTTAATCGGGCAGTGGTCGAATTTTTGACTGATGATTTATACCTTTCGTTAATAAAGTGGTGATAAGTTTTGCCTTTTGAGGTCTGCATTGTCATCAGACACGTATTTCTCTTGTAGAAGCTCTCTAGCTAGACAAAATTTCTACTGCATGATTCTATTCATTGTCAATTTATTATATGTATAGTTTTTATCTACTATATTAGTGCAAATTTTGTTAAATTATGCCTAATTTTCACTATAATAGTCTCTGTCTAACACTGTTAGAGTCACAAGCAAATTTGAATTTATGAAGATTTTGTCGCAGATTGATTCTGTAAATTCTTCCTCCAGGAAATTCCAGGACAGTAAATTCAAAAAATATTATTGTTCAAGCTGGCGATATTGTACTTTATTGAAATGATTTTCTCGAGAATACACCAAGAAAATTAAAACAGGACTCTTTAGAACAAGTTCAATTCATTAAGCCTAAATGCATGCTATATTAAGCCTAATTTTTATAATATTAGTCTCTGTTCAACAGTATTAAGGTCGTTTTCAAATTTGAATTTATGAAGATTTTGTTGCAGATTGATTCTGTAAATTCTGCTTTCAGAGCAGCAAATTTGAACAGTATTATTGCTCTAGGTAACAATATTAAGGCTTTCTGAACTTTTTTTTGAGAATATACAAAGAAAATTAAAACAGGTTTGGAAAAGTTTAATTCGTTTCGAGCAAATACGTTTTCTTAATTAGATTTGAGCCGTTCAAACTTTAGCAAAACAAATATACAGACAGAGCTATGAAGATACCTTTGGATCCGAACTCCTTCAGCAATCGACCATTCTTGGAAAACATTAGAATTCTGGAATTGCAGTACCCATCGCTGACAAAGAAAGTCCCAGAAGGTGTGACTGCTACATCGGAAGGCTGGCATAAATGACTTTTACCTGCCCCTGGCATGAAAGCTTCACCCAATACCATCTCTGGTTTGTTTTCCCTCGCTGGGAACTTGAACACCTGAAATTCAGAATTTCCAAAAATTCACGCACGAATTAATTTTGAACAGAAAACACAGATTTTTAAATAAATTTGCGATTTAATTTAATAATTCACATCGCTGGTTCAAAGTTAAAACGACACTTCTGCACTTACTTCTCATTTGAATGAGAAGTGAGTGCAGAAGTGTCGTTTTAACTTTGAACCAGCGATATAGTACACTTAAAAAAAGCAATCGGAATCAAATTACGGTAAAAAAGTACCGGGTGTGTGCTTTTTTTTACCAAGGAGGTCGGTACTTTCTTAAGCATTCAGGGAGCCGGTACTTTTTACTGTAAAATCCATGTATACCCGAACATGTAAGGGAATAAAAAATCTAATATACCGTAATTTTTACACTAATAACTACGTTAAAATTACCTAATCACTCTTAATTAAATTAACATTGCTGTAAAAATGTCGCTATAATATTATACACTGAAAATGGGCTTTACGATAAAATGGTTTTTGCACCCTAAGTGAAGGTACTTTATACAGTAATTTGATCCAGAATTTTTTCAAGTGTATATTTCTACGTTAAAAAAAGTCATGAGACCCTGCCCCATTTTTTATATTATTTTATTTTATTAAATTTATTTCTATTAAATTTATTATTAAATTTTCATTGAATTTATTCAATTTTAAATTTTTTTATTAAATTTATAAATTAAGACCCGGCATCCAAAATGAATAATTATTTGCAAGATCAATGAGTTTGCAAATAATTATTCATTTTGGATACCGGGACTTCTTACATAAAACTGAAGCATGCTAAAAATATTAGAGCAATCAAACCTATCATTTAGAATTTTATAATAAAAAAAAATGAATAAGACATATTTTTGCAATATTCTACTGATAAAACATCAAAAATATTTAGCAATGTAGAAACAGAGACATCGTGAGAATACAGTTGTTTTATAATAGTTCTATTTTATGATACATTTTGTTTTACTGCTTAAAATCTATAAAACTTAGAAATCTTAAATTTCGGAAGTATGTAGAAAAATGCTCAGAGAGTACAATGGAATAAATTATTTAGAGCAAGGATCACCAAAGTGATCGATATCGGTACCTGGCAGTCGATATAGTATAATTAGAAGTCATACCTATCTAGGATGTCAATGAATGGCTACCAATGGTATTCAGTCCTAAAAATGATGAAAATTGAACTAGAGGTGCCTTGTGGACCTCACAGAAATCACCTTTTGAAGGACCTGAGAGAAAGCCTTAATTAAAACGCATGAGTAATGCATCCTGATTTGCGAACACTCATTCAACTGCTTGATGATTGGACATCAATCAAAACGTGACTAAAAAATTATATATAAGAGTAAAAACTGAAACCGGAGAGCTTGCGAATACGATGCCCAGGTGACTTGTGAAATAATAAATAAATTTCTATTTTTGCGTAGCTTGCAATTTTTTTGATACAAACGCTACAATTGGTGACCCGGACGTGACATTTCGTACAAACTAATATTTTAAATTAAACTTTAGATATATTGCAAATATGGATATAACGGACTATGTTATTTCGCCTAATTTCTACACCAGTTGTAAACATCGACAGACATTTTCAAGATATCTGGGATCATATTGGGTCTATTCCACGGTTTTTTCCACAGACTCGATTGATTTATGGGTCTGTTCCACGAGCTTTTGGAGCTTACTCCAAATTTCTTAAACTTTTGAGAAGTTTATCATTTGATGATAAACGGTTGCAGGGATCTGTTTAGAAGAAATTTGGGTCCGTCTTCACAAAATATCTTTTCCTAAAAACGGATCCTTCACAAAATATTTTAACTTAAAAACGGACCCTTCACAAAATGATTTTTCTTTTAATCGGATCCTTCACAAATTTGTTTATCTTTGTTATTGTTTTGTTAATTGAACAAACCCTTCCCAGGGCAGAAAAAGAGAAAGATGGATGTAAACGAAATTAGTTTTGTCTTCGGCAGACGATTCTTCCATTATTCGTTCGAAATGAATATTCTACATTCAGCAGTATAGGCTAAATACCAAATATTTGTATGTTGCATCTCTAATTTAGAAGCAGCAATTGCTGTTTATTTTTGAAAATTTAATTTTTTTATTATAATTTTACAGTGCTGAGCATAATCTTGTATCTGATTACAATTTAAAAACTCCTTGAAGAAGTTTTTTGCAATAACCGTACCCTATTTGCACAAATTCATAAAAGCAGAATCCTGGTTAAAAGAATGTGAGTAATTTTTTCACAATTTCACAAAAACCGGACCTTTCACAAAACGTCTGGACAGACCCCTGGGTTGTTAATCATTTAACGGCTGATTTTTTGATTGGCTCATAATTTCATAATTTTTCACATGGATCAATATTTTGAATATTTCTTTCAGAAAATTAAACTGTAATAAAAAAAAAGTTAAAATCTTAAAAAATAATAAAATCTAATTCCCGATTTTTACAAACTTAGAGGACATTTCTATTCTATGTGGTTAAATCGTTCTACTATAAAGTGCTTGACTTCATGTGCAGCTCGTCGGACTACCAAAGCAGGGGAACCATGGCCTCTGCAGAGAATAAAAATTGAGATGGATTGTCCTCGGATCAATCTCAGGGATATTTCACGAACCATCCCCAAAAGCTCATCGAGCAGCTCTAGTGCGACATAAATAAAGTACCTGCATACATATCACAGTGACACAAAAAAAAAATTGTTCCGAACTGGATGATCTGAAAATAATTACCGCTTTTTTTTTACACAAATTTGAAATTCTCATTGTGAACAAAAATACTCACTTGATGCAAACCTACGTCTGTTAACCATGTGTTTCCAAACCTATCAACTGTCAACCCATGTGGCATAAAAAACCTAAGGAAAAAAAAACCTTTTTCAGTTTTTATTTTTATTTTAATAATATTTTTTTATATATATGAAGTATATATGAGTATATATGAATCACAACTATAATTTAGAAATACATGAGTGACATATTTTCAAAAAATGCATGCTATATGATGGAAAAAAAACTTGACCCCTACTTCACCTTCGAGGTTTGGGGCAGGGATCAACTTTAAAATTTTAAATACCACGGCCCTTTTTTATTGCAGATTCTGATTTTTCAGAAAAATCACCTCAATTTATCTTTCAGATTGATTTACAGATGTCCTGATTTTTAAAAAGCATCTTGATTGAGCGGCGATGGCTCAAAGGATAGAGCATTCGTCTTGCAATGAGGTGAACTGGGTACGAATCCCAGTGATGGCCGGTCAATACGAATTCCGCATCCGGCTTGCACCGACCACAGTGCTGACGTGAAATATCCTCAGTGGTAGATGGATCATGGATTAGAGTTCCCTTACCGCTAGTCTAACCCTAAGAGGTTTTCGTGATTTTCCTCTCCATGTAACGCAAATGCTGGTTAAATTAATCAAAAAGTCCTCCACGAAGACAAATTTCTCTCAATACATTATCCAGGAGTTCTCTTGTCTTCTGGATTGGGTTCAAAATTACAAGGTTACGTAGTTGAACATCAGTAGCCGTAAACCCAAAATTTGGGTCGGCTGTTCAATAACGGTTATAAAATATAAAATAAAATCATCTTGATTGGTTGGTAGGGCACTGGGCCCATGTCCAAGAGGTCGAGGGTTTGATCCCCGCCGGACGAAGACTCCCCTGTAGTAAATGGTGACTGGTGCATGTAAAATCTATCGGGTCACAATGTCCTCCAAGTTCCTTTAATTAATCATACCTATGGGAATACTGATCCAGGAGTTTTCTTATTGTCTGGATTGGGTCAAAAATTGCAAGACTACGGAGTTGCACAGTGGTAGCTGTAAACTCAAAATTCGGTTGGCTATTCAACAACGGTTATGAAATATAAAAACATAAGAATCTTTATTTGTAATTTCTGATGTTATTTGTTATATTTAGTGTATTTATTCCGCATTTGTTTAAACTTTGAACTACAATAAATGTCAAAATAACAATGAGCACTCTTAAAAAAGGACTTACGTGTTATATCCCCAAGAATATAAGACTTTGCCATTACTGGGATCGATTACTACTACTGTATCGTTTGGTATGGCCCCTTGCAAAATGTCTCTCAACCTGAAGCTCAAATCAAAAGTTCTAGAAGAAAATATTAAAATGTTATTATAACAAAGAATTAAAATAATATTCTACCAAAAAAAAAAGAAGAAGAATTAAGGATTAGAACTCAAAATTGCAGTCGAGAGAGGCATTTATGGTACCATATTTTCAACGTGTTTTCTATGTTCCACATTTCTTATAGATCCAAACCGGTTTGTAGCCAAAATTGTTTAATTTCTTAACAACATTAGCTACAAAAGTTTGATTTCGACTAATTATGAAAAAAAAATACTTGACCAGCGGTTACCAAAAGCAGGGGTCTGTCCAGACATTTTGTGAAAGGTCCGTTTTTCGTGAAATTGTGAAAAAATTACTCACATTCTTTCAACCAGGGTCCGCTTTTATGAGTTTGTGCAAATAGGGTCCGTTATTGCAAAAAAAAAAATTTCAAGGAGTTTTTAAATTGTATAGACATACAAGATTATGCTCAACACTGTAAAATTATAATTAAAAAAATTAAATTTTAAAAAATAAACAACAATTGCTGCTTCTAAATTAGAGATGCAACATACAAATATTTGGTATTTAGCCTATACTGCTGAACGCAGAATATTAATTTCGGACGAATAATGGAAGAATCGTCTGCCGAAGACAAAACTTAATTCGTTTACATCCATCTTTCTTGTTTTCTGCCCTGGAAAGGGTTTATTCGATTAACAAAATAATAATGAAGATAAACAAATTTGTGAAGGGTCCGATTAAAAGAAAAATCATTTTGTGAAGGGTCCGTTTTTATGTTAAAATATTTTGTGAAGGGTCCGTTTTTAAGTTAAAATATTTTGTGAAGGGTCCGTTTTTATGAAAATATATTTTGTGAAGGGTCCGTTAACGGACCCAAATTTCTTCTAAACATGATTCCCTGAAAAGGTATTCTACGGAATCCTAGGATTCCGCTAAAAAATTACAGGGGATCCAGATTTTTTTTGAACAGTAAGAAGTATATTTATATTAAATCAATAATCTATAATTTATTTAATATTTTGGCTGTTTATGTAAAATGCTAATTAGAAAAAAGTAACTAATTCTTTAAAAAAAAATTTCAATCTCTTATGTATTAAATAAGTTATGTAAAGACATTAAGTATTACTTATAATGTAATGTATAATGTATACTTATAATGTAATGTATTATGTATACTTATAATGCAATGCATAATGCATACTTATAATATAATATATACTTATAATGTTAATAACATATAATGTAACGTATAATAGATACTTAATGATGTAATGGCATTTTTAAGTGCTATGTAACATTCATAAAAAATTCAAGATTGGCTGCTTGGAACTCGAGGAGAAGTGAAGTGATTATACTTAACCATGTGATTTAAATCGCATTTAATTCGATACCTGTAAGCAACGTCACTATTGTGTCTTATCTGATTGGCTTCTGAATTAACAAATGTCATGATTTTCCTAGGATGACGTCAGTTACAGATATCCAATTCAAAAAGAATACGTTATTAAATTCAACAATTAAGTATTACGTTTCTCCCGAAACTATTCTTAACGTTAATAACAGTACGCTTTTGAAAAATATAATTGAACTTATTTTATTCATTTTTATCATATGCAACACCAAGGAAATATTCATTATTTTCAATAATTCATTCTTCACATTAAATATTTCCAATATAAGTTTTATTTATTTTAACGAATATAGTGTAGCACGCATTAGCAACAATTAAGTATTACGTTTCTCCCGAAACTATTCTTAACGTTAATAACAGTACTTTTTTGAAAAATATAATTGAACTTATTTTATTCATTTGTATCATATGCAACAACAAGGAAATATTCATCATCTTCAATAATTCATTCTTTACATTAAATATTTCCAATATAAGTTTTATTTATTTTAACGAATATAGTGCAGCACGTATTAATTTTATTTTGTTTTATTGGTTAATATATTTACAGCTGCAACGAAATTTCTTATTTTGAGCCGGGACTCAAAAATCTCGATCATTTAAGGTCTCATAGAGCCGAACAAATTGGGAACCACTCAACTCAACTATATTGTTTTAGAATATGGGGAACGAACGAAGTAAGAATGGATCGCCAGGCTATCCAAAAGGAACTTTACAAACGTAGTTGTGGGGACTGGCGAGTTATAGCGAGCAGGGTTCGATGGACCCTAAATATTTGAAAAAGTTAATTGGAAACATGGTTAAAAATATTTATTTATGAAGTGCATTACTGTGCATCCCAGATTCTGTCTCCTCGATGAAAGACGTGGAGGTTTCCGTCACCATCGACGCCAACAGCTGACACTTGGCCTAAATGTGGAAAACCTGGCCATGTGACGTCTTCTTCTACTCTCGGCGACACATCGATCTACAAAAACAAAAGTTCAAAAAGTTTTAAAAAAACAGCTGGTTTTATAACAAAAGTTTTTAAGATTAAGTACTATGATGAGTTTAATGTTCTTGATAAGTCTTCAATGTTTGTTTTCCAAAAACTAATGGAAGATAAAATAAAATTGACTTGATATTAGATAAAACTTCTAGATAAAATTGACTTGATATTATATTTTTCCTTCAGGGAAGCTTAATTAGCTAGCCAATAAATATTTTTGGGGACAGGATAGCCTCGTCGGTAGGGCGCTGGGCCCATGTCCGAGAGTTCGTGGGTTCGAACCCCACCGGCCGAAGACTCCCCGTGTAGTAAAGTGACTGATGCACGTTAAATCTGTCGAGTCGCAAAAGTCCTCCATGTTCCCATAACAAATCAATACCTCTGGAGGTACTGGATTGGAGATCGATCGTTCACTGATTCAGGTCAAAACTACGATCTGTGGATGAATGATTGGATGTATGAATGGGTCCGCCCTATAAATGGGTGCAACGTATGGTGTGGCAGATGTCGAATTCCTGGCCACAGATGGCGCCACTTAAAGAAAAGAAACGCACACTCTGCCCAAAATTTGCTCGGTTTCACCAATCAGGCTTGCCCGTGTGACAAGTAGCATTAGAAACAACAACATAAATATTTTTATTGTAACTTCGCTTTAAATCTACTTAGAAATATGTAAATTCTGTGACCCAAGGGAACTGATATTTGTAGATGGTCAGTACACGTTCGAGGAAAAAATACAAATTATCTGTTACTTTCTGGTAAAACGATTAAAGAATTATAATTTTAATAAAAAAAATTCCGACTATTAGCCTGAAAAATAAAATGACCATGCCTTTAAAACCGCACTTTTTATTTGAGAAACAATATATTTAAAAATGAATGGGTAATATAATTTGTAAGGAATTTTTTTTTCCCCGGTAACTAAATTTATTCATATAAATTTTTTTTGATGAGTGGTGTGGTTTTGAAACAAAAGCACTTAATTAATTTTTCAAAGTAGGGTAAACCAACCAGTGAAGGAACATTTCATATATATTGATTAAAAATAAAATTTTGCAAGTTTTTCTTTAGATTGATTGGTAACAATAGCTTACTGCCAAACAATAGGAAGCCATCTAGCAATGTTTTGGATTACCTGGTCAAATAGAATTCTCCGGAAAAATTTTTGAATTTGTTATTATCTCTGCAACACCTTGTTTCTTTGAAAAAATTATAAGGTGAGTGTTTGTTCTTATATGTTTGAAGTGGAATTAATTGCATGTAAAAGTTTTATTTCTCTCATTGTGAAAAAGAGAATTCAAAATATAGTTATTGAAGTTACGTTTTATTTTTTTAAGCATCATAGCATAATTAAGTACTCAGATAAGGGAGTGTTTATTCACTGGATCACCAAACGATGAAAACCAGTGAAGGAACAAATGTTCCTTTACTGGGTTTTTGTCTAAGTTAATGAAAATAAAAGATAAACTTTAATTTTCTTGTACCTTTAGTGATGTTCCGCATCAAAAGTATGTTAAAAATACGAAAAACAACTTCTAACCAGTGAGGGAAAAGGCATGTTCCTTTACTGGGCATAGATTTCCCAGTGAATGAACAGTATGTGTTAATATGTTGACACTTTAATTTTCAATTCATGATTACAAAAAAAAAACATTTTCCAAGTATTTATATGTTATAATTGCAAGAATAGGCTTGTTTTTAAATATTTGTATGGGTTATAAATTAATAAAGAGCATTAAAAAATAACCAAAATTAAGTGGTGCTTTACTGGGTGTTCATTCACTGGTAAGAGCTGTTCCTTCACTTGGTCTTCTTACTACTTGTTATTTGAACCTCCAAAACTTTAAAACAATATTATGTAAGTTCTCAACAATTTTTTACATAATTTGCAATTAGTAACTGTCATTTAACTAAAATTACGAATTTTGAAATTAATATGATTTTTTAAAAGGCAAGCGAAGCTTAAGTGTTCCTTCACTGGTTAGTTTACCTTACATTACAATTATTAAAAAAGATTAAATAAATTCGATGTGTGCGTGTAAACTAAGGAACGAGTTACAAATATGAAAAACTTGGTACGAAGCTTTGAGACCTCTGTAAACTATTCTGACGGTGCCATTCGAAAACAAATTAAAAAGTAACTAGCAATCATAGAAAACAGTTAAACAAAGAGAACAATCAAATTTAGGGAAGAGTGGAGATATTCTTTCCTTCTCTTTTTATTATAAACTAGCCGCCTAAGGCGGCCAGCTGTCCGCCACGCTGAAGGTTTTCACAAATNGAGAATTCAAAATATAGTTATTGAAGTTACGTTTTATTTTTTTAAGCATCATAGCATAATTAAGTACTCAGATAAGGGGGTGTTTATTCACTGGATCACCAAACGATGAAAACCAGTGAAGGAACAAATGTTCCTTTGCTGGGTTTTTTTCTAAGTTAATGAAAATAAAAGATAAACTTTAAGATAAAAGATAAAATTTAGGGAAGAGTGGAGATATTCTTTCTTTCTCTTTTTATTATAAATAAAACGATTTTGTTTAGAATAAAAATGTTTCAAAAACAAACTTTTTATTTTAATATAAAATATTTTACGACGCTGCAACGACAGTAATTTTTTTGTTACTTTTTCATCTAAATAAAAGTTTAAATCTAAATTAAAGTTTGTTGCTTTTTCATCTAAATAGCAATTAGTTAGAAATTGAGAATTTGCTGCACTTAAATTAAAACGATTGAACAACATTCACTAGGAATGTGCCTTAAGTTTGTAAAAATCGTGAATTGTAGTTTATTATTCTTTAAGATTTTAACTTTTCACTGTTGTTTAATTTCCTGAAGAAGTGTTTAAAAATTTGATTCGCGTGAAGATTAAGAATTGAATCAATCGAAAGATCAAGGGTTTAATGCTTAACAACAATTAACCGTCAAACGATAAACTTAATGTTACTTTCTTAACTCAACTTTCAAAACACTGACTAAGTTTTATAAAAGTTGAAGTTCAGTGTCGTAGAACAGAGGCATTTTATATTTTTGTTATTAAAGAAAATAACGTTAAGAATTATGATAAGTATATAAAGTTTAAATTTTTAAATAATTTTTATCCAATTTCCAAAATAATATTTTAATCTTATATCCTATTTGGAACTTACAAAATTGTTAAAAAAAAAATTAAAAAAACTCAAATTTTGTTACACATAAAATCATCCTTATTAAATAGAATGCAAAAAATTGTCGATTAAGATAAAAGAAAATTAGTGTTTATTTAGAAATCAAATAACAAGTTGTTAAAACTTTATTTGTACTGGGGAAGATAATATTAAAACATTAAAATTATCGACAAAACATTCAAAAGAAAAAACAAGTTGTTCAAATTATACACCGATCTGTTACATATTATCTATGATGAATTTATGATATTAAGAAATATAATAAAAAGAAATATGATGAAAAGACAGAATATATGCTAAATCAAATATATGATAAAAATGAAATTAACTTTTATTTATATAAAAAAACAAGTTGTGAAAATTATAAATTGTTTCATATTTTTTTGATTATTAATGAAACAATATGATGAAATATAATAAACAAATGACATGCTTTTTTAGAATATTTTTTATGCTTCTTAATATAATATTTCTTTTTATTTAAATGATTGTTCGGCATTCAATACTTTTTAAACAATGAGTTCTGGAACATCTTTCCTGACATCGAACAGCTGTCAATAGTGATAAAATTAAACTATTGTTTATTTTCAAAATAAAGTACAAATTAAAAAGAGATTTAATACTGTTCTATCGATATTTACCCGATCTAGCTGGTATTCTTCAATGTTAGGAGCAACAGACGCAAGCGATAGGGATATCAGAGCAGCTATCCAAACAGTAGCCAAGCAGGCAGCCATAATTCTGATCTTTTGACGTCATTTGCAGCAAGGTTTCATTGGGAAAACAGTCATGCGCAGACGCTTTTCCGGTTGCTATAGCAATAGTGGATTTTGGAAATGCGTTGTTCTCGTTTTTTGTGCGTTATTTAACGAGATTTCGGATTTACGAGGGAATTTTTCAAAAATGATTTTTGGAATGTTAAAAAACATTTGTAGAACTTTATTGTTATGAGCACGATTCGGTTGTTATATGCTACATACGTCGTACTAGAGCTGCTCAATAGACTATTGGCCACGGTGTGAGATACATTCCTGAGGATTATTCGAGAGCATGAGTTGGATTTAATAAATCGTTTGAGATTTCACAGGACAGTTTGATCTTACCAAGGCTTTCTTTTCTTCTTCATAAACTTCGTGAAAACTATTTTATTGAAATTGTCACTGAATAAATCTTATAATCTTCATAAAACTGTCACTGAAAAAAGTGCATTTGAAGGTTCATTAACATATCCTTTCCCTCGAAAGAGTTTTGAAAAAAAACTGACTTGTTCAAAAAAAGTGTTTGCAGATAAACAAATAAAGAGTAAGAATGACAAAACTTTATCTATATCAATCCAAATAACAAAATAAGGACAACTTTATCTATATCAATCCAAAGGCCAGAGGAACAGATGTATAAGAAATTATAGTCAAAGAAATGACAAACAAAAGATGTAGCTTTACAAATCCTTATTTAAAAATTATAGACAATGAAATGACAAACAAAAGATGTAGTTTTACAAATCATTAAATAGATTCAATCTCTTGCTGGTCACATGCCTGCATGCAACTGTCCATTTGTTAGTTAAAATCAGAGACATAACTGGCTAACTAAACTAGCTAATTTTTTAAAAACAAAAAGCAGATGTAGATGCAATAACTATAACTCTGAATAAAATAATTATTCTCAATCATTTCTCCAATAATTCTAATTATTTACTGATTAATTAGTAACTATTTATACTATAAAATTGATATTAGGAACATTAGGTAGTACTATTGTAATTGGAAAATAATACCAATAACTTATTTCAATTAAGTTAGTGGTTTAAAGAATTTTTCCATTGATAATATAAAAATAATTGAAATAATATTAAAAATATCAATATATATTACTATATAATTGAAAGGTAATACGATTAGCTTATTTGAACTAAGTTAGTAGTTTGAAAAATTCCATCCATCGATAATATAAAATGATAATATAAATATTAGACAAATATTTTTTAATTGAAATGTAATGCCAATAAATAATTTTAATTAAGTTATTGATTATATCAATTAAGTTGTTTTGATATAAAAAAAATTCTCGCCATCGATATCATAAAACTAATATTATAAATAATTGTTAATTACATGTATAATTGGAGGGTGTTATTAAAAGTATTGAAAGTTAAAATACTAAGAGCTTAGACATAAGCTCTTAGTTGGTAGTTTAAAAAATTCTTTCCCTCGATAATATAAAATTGATGTTATAATTTATTTAATTTTATAATAATTGATAGGTAATACTATCTGCGGTCATAGAAACGTTAATTAGTCTTCCATGGCAAATTTTTTTTTAAATAAAAGGTTAATTTTACTAATTTTTAAGCGATTTTAACTACTAATTTTACAATCGGCGATACGTTTTTTAGTTTATGATTTGTTAATCAATTGACATTTTCGAAATATTAATTTTTTTTGCAGGAAAATAATTGCTTTAACTTGGTTAATTTTAAAATGCTTCTAAAACCGATTTGGGTTTAATCAACTAAATATTTTAATATTTGGATCTGCGCAGTTATGTTTAATGATGGTGTAGGGCTTTTTAATTAAACAAGAAATTCAGCCCTTATAAGCAAACTGATTGCAAATAACATCGATGGAAATTAATTGCTTTACGTATGTGGTAGCTAGAATTGAAAATAACCACTCGCCACCAGCCAGATGGTGAGATACCAGTAAGTGACTTAAATTATGTAAACAACTGATCTTTTTTCCCCTATCGTTTATTTCATTTATTTATTATTATTATTTTAAAATTGTTTAAAAATACAACAAGTTAGAAAAGGAAGCTAGAGAACAGAATTTTCCGGAAATGTCCAATGTCTCCATTCAAAATTTTGATTTTTCAGAATTCATCAATTTGCGGTGGAAAGATTCATACAAAAGGAGAGTTTCTTAACAATTCAAATTAAATGTATTTGACCTCCAAATAATTTTTTTTATATAATTGTAATTGAACAGCCGACCCAATTTTATGGGTTTACGACTACTAATGCTCAACTCCGTTGCCTTGTAATTTTGAACCCTATCCAGAAGACAAGGGAACACCTGGAACCATAATATAAATGAAATGAGATCAAATTTAGCCTTAGAATTAGAGCAGAAAAATGTGATTAACAAAATATTCGAGCAATATACGTCGACTGCCAGTAGATTTGAAAATAACTATATCAGCTGAACTCTCAGCATCAATTAATTTTTCCTCCCATTTACAATAATACGCAAATGTCTATCGAGTGTCTCTTGTAAAGGGTACGATTACAAGAAAAATTATTTACTACACCATACTAATCCTATTCTATTAGTTATAATTTTTTGTTTAACCATCGTTAAACAGCCAACCCAATTTTTGGGTTTATGACTACTAATGTTCAACTTCGTAGCCTTGTAATTTTGGGCCCAATCCAGAAGACAAGAGAACTCCTGGATCGAGTATAGGGAGAAATTTGCCTTAGTGGAGGACTTTCTGATGGAGCTAACCCGCATTTGAGTTACATGGAGAAGAAGATCACGAGAACCTCCCACGGTTAGCCTGGCGGCAAGGGGGCTGTAACCCATCATCCGTCTACCACTGAGAATATTCCACGTCAGCACTGTGGTCGATACAAGCCGGATGCGGAATTCGTATCTACAGGGATTCGAACCCGGTTCGCCTCATTGGAAGGCCTGAGCTCTCCCAAATGATTTGAAATTAAGTTCTTTAAATTCATTATGCTTAAATAAATTTTGTCATATATTTAAATTATTTTTATTGTTGAATTGACTCTTTATAGCCGTAAATTATTTCTAATATGATTTGTTTTGTTTTTTTAAATTAATCCAAGCAACAAAAAAAAATTCCAAAAAGTGTCTTTAAATGAAAAGGACCTATCGATATCAGTCACCGACACATTAGGTTTGGGGAAAATGTGGCGACCAAGTTATTAGAATCTACCAGTCAGTGGCAACTATCTAGAAATTTAAATTTTCGGGTCTGCACTGTGGGCCAGAAGACCATGATCTTCGGCCAAAAGTCAAAAGTCAATTTTCAACTAAAATATGTGTAGGCAGTTTTAATATAGCCCAAATTAAGTATTCATAATCATTCCAAACATTATAATTTACTTTTTGGACCGAAGAGAGTAATGAAAAATATGTTTAAAAAAACATTTTTTTAATGTAACTTTTAAATTTTTATTTCAGAAATATATATAGGAATTTCACCTTACTGTTACATTTTTATCAGAGTAATTAGTCTGAAATTACAGCAAAATTTTTCAATTTGTTGGATTAGTTAATACTTTTGACAAACTTATAGTTTATATCTTATTTACAATTTTACAATGTTTGAAAGACTTTCGAAACTTAGTTCCAAAAAATTCCACGAGGTAATTAGCTAAACTTTTTTTTGTTGTCTTCTTTGATGTTTCTTCTTTCGAAAAAAACTGCCCCATTTTGCCCGTATTGCAAAGCACTTTTTTGTCATTTTGCATAAGGTTGCAGAAATGCAACAATCAATTTTTTTCCAATAATTTTTTTTATTTTATGTTGTGAATTTTTTTTATTATTTTTTACATGCTTAGAATGATGTATTCTAATGCATGAGTAATTTTTATTAAAATCAGAGATGTTGAGATAGAAAGGGTTTAAGGTTCAAACTTTGAGCAACTCTCCTCACCAAACTGTGGAGACTCTATTTCCCAGATTACGGCAACCCCCATATTTTGAGGGACAAAAATCCGAATCCGCCGTAAAGAAAAGTTATTTATTCAGAGAAAATACGTATTTTCTAAAAATATTGCTTGCCTAATGAATGAGCATATTTGAGGTTAGCCCCACGAACTATTAAGATTTAGTTCTGGAATGTGAAGATTCGTTCATAAGGTCAAAAATTATTTATGGTGATCCGTTTATTTATTTATTTATTTATTTATTTATTTTGCGCTCTGCGCACAAAAAATTATTGCTAGTACTTGCTTGCTTTCGTATGCCTGTTTAGGCAGAGGGGTTCGATTGTTCTTGTTTTCCAGTGGCACCATCTGTGGCCAAGAATTCGACTTCTACCACACCATACGTCACACCCGTTTATAAGGTGACTTATTCATACATCCATCCATTTATTCACAGATCGTAATTTTGACTTGAATCAGAGAACTGTCGATCTCCAATCCAGTACCTCCAGAGGTACTGATCTGTTATGGGAACATGGAGGACTTTTGCGACTTGACAGATTTACCGTGCATCAGTCACTTTACAACACGGGGGTCTTAGGCCAGCTGGGTTCGAACTCACGAACCCTCGGACATGGGACCAGCGCCCTCCCGACCAGACTATCCCGGCCTTCTTGCCCTAATTCAGTGGTTCTTAACCTTTTTAAGCCGCAACCCAAATTTGAGAAATATGCTCATGTCGCGACCCAAAAAAAAGTCAAAATTAGGCTGAGTAAGCCACAATGACTTCTTCTAGGAGGTGTTGGTATTACTTATTATTTGGTGTATTACTAACTTTTTTGGTTCGACTCAGCGCGACCCAAGAAATATGCTTCGCGACCCAATTTTGGGTCGCGACCCATAGGTTAAGAACCGCTGCCCTAATTAATGAGCATATTTGAGGTTACCCCCTCGAACTATTAAGATTCAGTTTTAGAACGTTTAGTTAGTGAAGATCCGTTCATCAGGTCAAAAGTTATTTATGGTTATCCATTTATTTATTTATCTTAAATTATTATTATTATTATTTTTTTGCGCACTGTACACAAAAAACACTGAATGTTTAAATAAGAAT